AAAAAAAAAAAAAATTCAAAAAGTCCAATTTTTATATTTTTTATTGAATTTTCATTTTTTTAGTACTTTGAACCGTCGTAGGGATAAAAGGGTGCGTTTTAGGGGAAAAATGGTCTGAGAGAGATAGGCCTAAAATTTTATGCTCTACAACTTTTAGTTGAAACTTTTTTTGATATTTTCAACATATAATCCAAAAATCATATTTTGGGGTAGTTTTTAATTTTTTTCACCCTTTTCCCGGTGGTTGAGAACTTTTTTACTTTGCCCACAGTTTTGTACGCATTTTTCTGATAATTTCCATATTTTTTCAGCCGTATAGCTAAAAAACCCGATTTCGGAGCTATTTTGACTGGACTATTACGAATCTATGGTAATACAGCTACGCTACAACTGTGGATAATATTAAATTTAAAGAAATAGTATATTGTAATATTAATAAATCTTTAACCCTAATTTTCTCAAAAACGGCTGTACTTAGAAAGCTAATTACTATACACTGTATGTACGGTATGTAACCCTAACGAACACATATAAATTTATAAAGTTTTATCTACTTCTTAAAAATATCTGCTCTGGGTTCTCAGTGAAATAATATGAGTCTACGCTTCGTAATATGCATTTGCACACAACACATACTCACATACACGAAGCTTAGTAGCCAGGAGTGGGGATTACGAAACAGCGCATAAAAAGAAGACAGAAAATAGGAAAACTGTATAGTTATATTTTGTCTCATTCTCTCTCAGGATCAATCCTATATGTTTGTCTCTTTTTCTCTTCTTACTTAGTATCGTGGACGTTTCATCGCCGTGTTTCCGCGTTCGCTTATTTTCAAGTCACCCTCATTCTAAAGATATTTTCACTTCAAAAATATTTTCTCTTTCACTTACCGCATACTGCATTTAACGTATGTTCGGTCATAAGTTCCTCTAGATTCTGAATAATTGGATTTCCCTTTCCTTGTTCTTTCACTAATGATACAAGATACTGCGCCTCATTATTTAATGCGACTATGAAATGTTTAAGAATATTAAAGTGAAAGGCCGGAGTTAAAATTTTTCTTCGGTGTTGCCATTTGGCTCCTGTTGAGTCAAATTTAATCTTAAATATAATTTATTATATTTAACACATTTTGCTTTTTCTAAAATTGTTTACCTGTACTTGTTAACAATCCGGTCGATAGCCATGGTTTTAAGAATTTGTAAAAGGCACTTTTTGTTATGTGTTTAGGACTCCTCATTAGTACCTTTAGTTAAAAGATATTTTATACTTAATTTAAGTAATTATAAATTATTTTTTTTTAATTAAAATAATAATGTTGAATTAAATTAGACAATACAAAATGAATAATTTTAATTACTATTTTAGTTAAAGTATACTAATATATGTAAACACATTTTATTTTTAAATTAAAAAATGATAATTTGATTAATAGTAATATATTTAATATTATTAAAAGATAGCAAAAAATATTGTTATGTTGATTGCATATTTTAATTATTTACCTCGATATCTTCCGGATGAAGTAGAACTACAGTTGTGTTAAAAAAGCTCCACATTTTATAAATTGGATAGTATTCTTTGTCTGTTTTACAAAATACTTCGAAAAGTTTATCTAAAGTATGGTAATAATATCTATGGTAAGTGAGAATTATTACATTGTGTAAGTAGAATTACAATAAAGCAAATATATGTTCTAGACGAAATGTTTACTCTTATATAAATTTACCATTTTTTTCTTGAAAATGAAGCAAATTTCCTATGATTGGATATGCTTTTGGGCCTGGAAGTACTTCAAGAATTCTTGTTACTCTTCGAAATTTTATAGAGCAGTGTAATAAAAACAGAAAGGAAACCATTCCCAAAAATATAGTGAAAAACATTGTTGAATAAAGAAATTTAATAAGATCAACCTCTTTTATTATTTACTTAATCGTATTCATAGGTGTCACAAGAAATACAAATAAATACACTGATACAACCCAATAAACAAGTATATTTGTCTCACTGATCAGATGTACGACGAAGTTAGATTAAAAAACAATGCAATATAGAAATACTATTTATTGATTTTATTGGCGAATGAAATATATAAAAAGTGCAATTGAATGGATTCAACCGATATGTTTTCCCAAATGAAAAAGCTTTCCTTTTCAGATTAAATATATAACCTCGTTTAAAATGCTATCTATGTAAAGAATTGTTATTACTTATTTTTATTAAGTCATTCCACGAAAGACTGAGTCACATGGAGAATGAGATTTATATTGACATTATTGAGATATGCACATTTAGTATGTTTTTGGTTTGGAGGTCGCTGATTATGAATGCGCTAATCTTTTTTTGAAAAAGAAAGTTGCACACAAGAAATAGGCAACTACTTTAGGAAAAAATAATTTCATTTTTAAAGATGTGCTTATTTAAAGATTTTTGGAGTCAAAAAATGTTTATTTTTTGGAAAAATTAATCGAACGTGCTTTTTTATTTTGGCATGATTTATGGATTTTTTCCAGTCCATTGTTCGTCCACAGGCTAATGTAGCATAATATTACTATTTACAAATTTGTAAAACCTTTTATACATTTATTTTTATTTTTTTTGTTTAAATGAATAAATAAATCAAACTTGCAGATATAAAAGAAGAATTTTTATGTACATAAAATCACTAGCAAACGATAACTACAGACAATATGTCTCTGGAAACCTTGAAAGAATCAACCTTGAAGATCTTGTTAAAAATTATATCTACTCATTTCGTATTCTGTTTTAGTTAATGAGTCTGTATTCTGTTTTCGTTTATAAGTCTGTATTTTGTTTTCTGAAAAATGAATGAATCATTTAACCGCTTCGTTGGCATGGACGAATTATCTCGCGACGACAAAACTGTTTCTACAAGGTCACAGACGAATTATCTCGCGACGACGAAACTGCTTCTAAAAGGTCACAGATGAGTTATCTGCAAACGAAGAAACTGCTTGTACAAGATCACAGACGTATTATACCACGCTGCGGTACCGTTCGTATATTGCCACAGACATATTTTGCGTGCTTAATTGTTAAATTAAGAACTTTAATTCGGAAAAGCGGTAATTTTGTTAAAGGTATATAATAAAGCAAAACTTTAATTTAAGGATATTTGAAATTTATTATTTCTCTGTACTGTACAATTCAAAGTAAGGAATTGCACATAACGCGACATCACAATTCTTACAATAAAAGCTAGTTTCTGTACGAATCGATGTTATTTTGCACCATACACAACGCTTCGTAAGATAAAGTTTTTATTTTGTTGGTGGTATTTTCTTTAAGAAACATCTGGAAGGAAAGCGAAGCGGATAATACCAGGTGTACCGGAAAGTCATTACCGGTTTTTTCGGAAAGAAATTACGTAATTTTCAAGAAAATTGAAAAAAGATTTATTCAAAATATTGGCCATTTGATTCTATACATCTTGCCCATCTTTCAGGCAATTTATGGATACCATCCCAATAAAACTGTTTGTCCTTTGAGCAAAACCATTCATTGAGCTATTTTCCAACTTCTTCGAAATTTGCGAAGTGCTGCTTTGTAAGCGCGTGTCCCATTGATGCGAAAAGTTGATAGTCGGACGGAGCAAGGTCTGGAGAGTACGGCGGGTGCGATAATATGTCCCTTCCAAGTGCTTTCAACGCTTCTTTGACCGGTTTTGCTTTATGAGACGGCACGTTATCGTGCTGTAAAATCACTTTACCTTGTCTTCGGGCCCGTTCTGGACGTTTTTCGATCAATGCAAGGTTCAAATTGATCATTTGTTGTCGGTAGCGATCATTATTAACTGTTTCACCAGGTTTCAACAGTTCGTAATACACCACGCCACTCTGGTCCCACCAAGCACAGAGCATTGTCTTGTGACCAAAACGATTTGGCCTTGGAGTCGATGGGCCGGCTTGGCCAGGTGATAACCATGATTTTCTGCGCTTAGGGTTTTTAAAATAAATCCACTTTTCATCACCCGTCACTATTCGATGCAAAAATGACTTCCGATCATACCTTTGAAGCAGCATTTCACAGACGATTTTTCGATTTTCCCTTTGCCTGTCATTCAATTGATGTGACACCCATCTTCCCATCTTTTGGATTTTCCCCATTGCTCGTAATCGATCGCTAATCGTTTCTTGGGTCACATTTAACGCTTCTGCCAATTGTTTTTGAATTTGGGTTGGGTCTTCATCCAATAACTCCTGCAGTTTCGCATCTTCAAACTTTTTCGGTCTACCAGAACGTTCTTTGTCTTGCACATCGAAATGACCACTTTTGAATTTTTGAAACGAAAGAATTTTTGAAAAGGTTAGAGCATGCTCACTGTAAGTTTCTACCAGCAAACGATGACTTTCAGCGGCTTTTTTCTTTTGATTAAATAAGAAAAGTAATGCGTGCCGCAAATACACGTTTTCAGGTATGAAACTTAACATTTTCAAAGAGGTATAAATCTATGACGTGTTACTTTCGCAAAGTATAACCCGTATAGCTTTTGAAGCTTGAGGTCAGTAGAATAAAATGACATATGTGTCAAATCATAACATTGCATATTTAAACCTAGCGACATCTATTAGAAAAACCGGTAATGACTTTCCGGTACACCTGATATATGACATATACGTAATATGCAGCTGCACACAAGCACACACTTGTAACACATGGGCTGGAAAGTTCCAAGCCTCACACATAAATGGCGCTAGTTTTATTGCATTTACCTCATTTTTAGTTAGTACTAACCTTCAAAAGATATGTGTATAAATTTTCCATCTGTCGAGTAGTTGGTTCGTGAGGTAGCATTTTGAGTGAAGCAACTTTTGTTATTTTCAAAAAGATGCATAAAAAAGATTTTCGTGTGTTATTAAAACATTGCTTTTTATTGAAAAAAAATACTGTTGAAGTCAAGGCTTGGCTTGATAAACATTATTCGGATTCTGTACCAGGAAAATCAACCGTTGAAAAGTGGTTTACTAAGTTTAAACGAAGCGAAATGAGCGTCGAAGATGTTGCACGCAGCGGACGACCGAAAGAGGCTGTTACCGACGAAAACATCAAGAAAGTCCACAAAATAATTTTGAATGACCGTAAAATAAAGTTGATTGAGTTAGCTGAGACTCTAAAGATATCAAAGGAACGTGTAGGACATATAATACATGAATACTTAGACATGCGAAAGCTGTGTGCAAAGTGGATGCCACGCGTGCTCACAATCGATCAAAAAAACGATGGCAAAGTTGTATGAATTGAGCTTCGAATTGCTTCCCCATCCACCGTATTCTCCAGATCTGGCCTTCAGTGACTTTTTCCTATTTGCAGATCTCAAAAGAATGCTCGCTGGAAAAAAATTCAGCACTGATGAAGAGGTTATCGCTAAAACTGAGACCTATTTTAAGGCAAAAGATAAATCGTTCTACAAAAGTGGTATTGAAATGTTAGAGCGGCACTGGAATGATTTTGTTGCTCTTGATGGAGATTATATTGATGAATAAAACCAATTTTAAACGAAAAAAACCGTGTTTTCTTTGTTAGACCCGGGACTTTTCACCGATGTGTTATAATGCTTAACCCTTTGCACTCCGAATTATATTTCAATGTTGTTTCCTACAGCTTCCAATGCTTTGAAATATTTGATTTAAAATTTATTTTAACTGAAAAATATGGTATTAAATATATCGTAAAGGAAGAAATAAATTAAATAAAATGTCCATTTTATTTTCATTATTGTTATATTCTATAATTTTCAAAGTTATGATATCTTTTGAGGTAAAAGCCGATGTCGAGTCACACTTGACATAGGAGTGCAAAGGGTTAAAAGCCAAAAATGGTGACAACAAAGCACCGCATAAAGGAGACCGAGAGAATAGAAAAAACTGTATACTATATTCTACCTCATTCTCTAGCAGGCTTAATCCTATATGTTTGTCTCTTTTTCTTTTTTTAGAGACATAGCGTTTTGTCGTTTTTCGTAACATGTCTTGTGTTTCATCCTTTTTTAAATCACCCCGATTCTAATGAAATTTTCATTTAAAAAATAAAGCCATTCTACGAATAACGAACAGGTTCTAAGCAGCAGGAATTAGTCGAAATATAGAGCCGTATCTTTTACATGAATAAATACAAGTATACCGATTATATCCCTTATATATACGAAAGCGTATTTAAATTAATATGTTCTCTTTTCACCACGTCTTTCGTGTAAGGCCGATTTAAGATCGGAGAAGGTAGAGGAGGAGAAAAAAAAGGAACCAAGTAGGAGAATGAGGAAGAGGGAGAAGAAAAAAAAGTGACAATAGTACATGAATTAATTTTCTGAATAAATGGACAAGTAAGCGATTAAGTAAGTAAGTAGGTAATTACATGTTTAATTTGCAGCCCGTAGTGGCCTTACAAAAGTTAAAAGAATCCCATGTGGGGGTGACTTATTCCCTATTTCTCAGCATCAATCAATCCACATTACCCCTATCAACGCAAAAATCTCTCGTACTTATGTTTCCACGCCTTCTACTGCGTTAACATTATCACAGGCGATCTTAGTAGTCACATCGTCGGAGGTATGATTCAGTTCGTGAAAATTGGCAGCAGCTAACGTAGATTTACATCTCTTTTAATAATGCTTAGGCGCCTATAGTTTTAATTTACCTTGTTACAAATATCCGCCGATGTGTTTATCCGAGATCTAAGCGCTCCTCCGTCTTTTGCATTCACATGCATATCAGTCAATTATCCAGTTTTACACTTACATTGCATTTACGGGATGGCACACGAGCGAATATCGTGGACGAAGGAAGAAAGGAGTTCTCGCTACGTCACATCGCGGTAGAATATGAAAAAAGATTAGACAATACAGAAAAAAATGAAATTGAAATAACATTATCGTGGCAGAACGTCACAAAAGTTAAGTAATATATCTTATAATAAAATAATATTGGAATTATATGATTTATTTAATGAAAAATACATTCAAAAAAAAATTTAGTTCTTATAATTTTATCGGAATAAATTTGACATGAAGTGGTTTCGCTGGTCGCAAAATAATATCTCCCATCAATTTAATGTTATCCAAATCCTCTACTGGCTCTAAATAAAAGTGATGTAATATATGGGCAACCATAAGTTTCATTTCGAACATTGCATATTTTTGACCTAGAAAAAAAGGTAATATTCACATATAAATTTTGTTTAAATTTATCTATAATTTTTTTATGTATAGTATTCTTACCAATGCAGTTTCTTAATCCTGCACTAAATGGAATATAACAGTACGCATTACGTTTACTAATATTTTCTGGTAAAAATCTATCGGGATCGAAAACATCAGGATTGGGCCAAAATTCTGGATTTCGGTGTAAATGAAAGATGTTAATTCGAATGTTAGTACCAGCTGGGATTAAAAATTTTTCTGAAAATGTTATAATTAAGATTATTTCATCAAAATGATAAAATATGAATGCATATATTAGAATGTACGATGATTATGTTACATACTTAACTGCATATCATCAGTTAAATATCGTGCCACAAAATGGACACTTGGGTATAAACGTAGAGATTCTTTTATGCATCTCTCTAAATAGGAAAATTCTTGAACCACCGACATCGTCATTTTGTAATTTTTTTGGTTCATAACACTATTCACTTCTTCTCTTATACGTTCCTATAACATAAATTGTCATTAAAAGAATTCTATATAATTATAACGAATTATAATCTACATCCATAGTTGTTATTAAATATTGTATCTATTATTATGATAAAAACATTACCTGGACGTCTTTGTGTTTGGCAATAAGACTCAAAAGAAAGACCAATGCCATTGCAGTAGTGTCGTGACCCTATGAAGATTTTTTTTATAAATTATTTTCATTTCATCTACATTAGAAATAAATAAAGATATTATACCATACCGCAAACATAAATGTATCCACTTCCTCTCTGATTCCTTCATCATCAATTTGATTTCCATTCCAAGAAGCTGCTATTAGTAAATCTAACATAGCAAGTTTTTTTTTGTATGTCGGATCTACGATAAAAACATTTGATTATTACTTCTATCATGATTATGATTCATGATTACTATATAAGTAAAATACTTTTGATATTCTCCTCGTGTCCTTCGGGAAAAACGTCATTCTCTTCAACCGTTTCGAAAGTTTTTAAATATTTTCCATTTGTTTTTTCGTGAAAAAGTTTTCTCTCTGCAATTATCTAAAATAACAATAATTACTTCCAAAGGTGATATGACTTTTATTAGAAATTAGGTTATAAATATACTACACGTACTTTTTTTGTAAAACCATGCAACGTTTGTAATAGTTCTTCTTGCAATCGTCCTTGTGATGAAAATGCAAATATATTGTCTAATAAATACCAAGGTCTTGAAGCTCTAATAACAATACCAATTTTTGTTTAATATACTTCATATTTAATAAAAAAATTAATAATTACCTTTTTACAATGATATTGAGTATAGCATAAACGGCGTTGCGATATTTAAGCTTTTGTTCGTCATTCACCCGTAAAGAGATACCCATTGCCGTTTCTACAAATAATCATGTTGTTTACAATTATGTCTTTTATGATTATTTATATGGATTATATAACAAGGTTTCCGAACTGGACGATCATGCACATATGCAGCGTTTGTTATCAGACAAATAACTGAAAAATTCATAGAATATAATAAATCAGCATTTTTCTATTTTATAGATTTTGAAAAGGCGTTCGACCGGATACGGTTGGAGGATATAGTGCACCTTCTGTATGATAGACATCTATCAGAATAATCGAATACAAGCAAAGATAGACAACGAATTCACAGAACCAATAAAGGTTAAAAGAGGTACTCGACAGGGTGACTCACTGAATCCCCTACTTTTTAATATTATAATGGATGAAATCCTAAAGAAATTGTGCGGACAAAGAGGATATCGAATGGGGTTCCGAGAGATAAAAATCTTGTGTTACGCCGATGATGCAGTCCTGATAGCGGAAAATGAGGATGACCTGCAAAGGCTCTTGTATACGTTCAACACAGTTGATAAGACACTCGGGATGTCTATATCAACATCAAAGACTAAGTGCATGGCTACATCTAAAACACCTGTAAGATGTAAATTGGTTGTCGATGACAAGATAATGCACCAAGTGATGGAGTTCAATTATTTAGGTATAAAAATTTCGAGCTTCGGTGACAGAATCAGAAGTAAAAGAACAAGCCATCAAGACAACAAGAACAACTCACAATTAAAAAACACCATATTTCGAAACAAACACCTAAGAATAGATGCAAAAGCTCGTATATACGAAACCGCTATAAGGCCTACACTGACATACGCGGCAGAAACAACTGAAATAAAGATAGTTCGCAGAATAGCTGGAAAATCACTATTAGACTACAGGCCCGACCTAAAAAATCGATGGGTCATATGATCCCGCAGGAAACCTATATTAGACGATAGAAGGGCATAAAATAATAATTTTTAGCACTATGCCGTGACTTGTAAGCTGTCCAACTGAGTGCAGGTGAGAATTAAAAAGCACAAAATAACCGGGTGCTTTTTTATCAAATAATTTCTTATGGCATTCTTACCACCTATAGATCCATCGAAAATAATGAGAAAACACGTAGTGCCGTTAAAAAATAGTAGGCCACAAAGTCGGAAAAAATTTTTGATTTTCTGACAAAACCCCGGGTCTATTAGATCATTTGATTATGAACGGCGTTTGTTTCATACAATTTAAATACCTATTCTAAATCTATCTCAGTATTAACATTTTTCAATAATTTTTGATGAAATATACTTCAAATATTGTTATAATTTGTTTATATAGGAAATATTAATAAAAAATAAAAAG